CAATGGACAGCACCCAAACATCAATTTTAAGCCATGAGCAGCCACCTACAGCAGTCCTAAGCTTCCTACAGCCTTCAAACAGCAACCTACAGCTATCGGCGCCTCCAAACAACAAGCCAACAGCAAAGGACAACACCTAAACATCAATTTTAAGTCATGAGCAGCTACCTACAGTAGTTCTAAGCTTCTTACAGCCTTCAAACAGCTTCCTACAGCAATTCTACACCTTGAACAGCTCTTGCAAGCTTTCAAACACACTTTCAAGCTTAAAAAGAGCAGCTATTTAGTTCGAACAGCACTTACAAAGCGTCCTTCAGCTCCCAAACAACAGCTATAAAGGCAAAACATTGCTTACAAAGCTTCCTATCACTCAAAACCACAGCTATGACGAGCAAATAGTGGTTACGAAGCTTCCTATCACTCCAAACAGTAAAGAAAGTCCCCCGAAACAGCCCCAAAAAAAATCAATTTAAACGTCCCCAAAATCCCTCTCTAAAACAGCAAATAAAATGCCCAAGACAGAGAAGAATATGAGCACAAATCAGCCCTTAATACATAAAGCAACACTAAACATCATGGGAAAACATGCACACTCACGATATCAAGGTCAACTACTTAAAAAATTTTGTTGAAACAAGTTGTACAACATTCTCAGACATATGGTTGGGACAAGTAAAAATTCTTTGAAAATGAATAAAAGCAACAAATATATAAAGCATTGAATTCTGAAGAAAGAATATTGCAATAAAGAGTGGCAAAAATAATTTTTATTTTGAGCAAAAGCACTGATACTTAAAGCGGATAGACAAGGAATAGTTAATTTCGGATATAATCATTCCACCAAGGTCATTATCCAAATCAGAGGTGAAACATAACTTTAAATATATGCTAACAAGTCAGTAGATGGGAAAGAGCGAGATTCACATAATAAGATGTGAAAATAATGAATCCATCAGATGTCAAAAATCTTTTGACAACTAGAATCAAGACACAAATGTTGCAAAGTAGCATGCAGTAAGCGCAAAGCAAAGCTCAATTTAAAACAATCAAAAGGAGCAACTTTCTTTCTATGATATCCATGGGATTTAGGAAGAAAATCCAACATGTCCTTGCTCTAACACCCAACCAGTTAAAGAAGCATGAATCGATTCACGTTCAAGCCATATGTTAGATTTCCGGCTAATAAAATCATGATTATCATACAACAAGGATCTGATTTAAAACATAGAGAGAAAGAAACGCATGTTGCCTACCCTTTTGATGTTGTCAGAGAAGCAGTCGCAGAGGGAGAGGAAGTTGAGCGAGGAGCAGAATCGAACCAGAGAAGAGGATAGGAAGGCGGGTCAAAAGGCTGCTTCTGTCAAGCGAGAAAGAAGCGAGGCGGAAGACCGGAACCTCGGTCGCGCGAGAGAGGGTAGCAGGCGAGCGGGATTCAGTTCGCAAAGAAGAGTTGGGGCTTCGGTTTGCACGCGAGGGAAAAACAGACGAGGTTCCTAGAGAGGAGAAAGTTTTGGACAGTTACTTAGATTTGGAGGAGAAGAGGAGAAGTGAGAGATATCTTCTTTACTACAGATTTTGAGTAAGTTTGGAGTGAAATTGTTACGAGAGTGGGTGATTTAAAGTAACTAGAAGGATTTCTTGGGAAGGAGTTTAAGATAAGTTGTGTACTTTGTTCATTTTACTTTGTCTTGTCTTGTAAACTTTTATTTATCTATAAATCCATGTTTTGTTGTTTCTTCCCCATGAGATTTGAGTAGTTTCATTTATCTCTCCCTGCAATGAGGATTAATTATGTGTAGGAATATGTTTGCGGTTCACAGAGGAGCAGAAGGAGAAGGTGAGGGGGAATGAGTGGTCTTCTGGTCATGAGGGAGAGGTGCAGCAAGAGCAGAATCGTAGTTGGGAGGCGAGTGGTTGCGATTCGGTTGCGATTCGCAGGGGAGAAGGCGAGCGTTCGAGCAGAGGAGCGGGTGGTTGCGATTCGCAGGGGAGAAGACGAGCGTTCGAGCAGAGGAGCGGGCTTATGGTCGTCTCCTGGTCGTGAGGGCGAGGCGCAACATGAGCGAGAGAAAGGAGCTCAGGAGAGGCAGAGGAGAAAGACGAGCGGGGCAAGGGTCTTCGGTCGAGTGAGAGACGGAAGCCGAGGCTCTCGTGCGCGAGGGACAAATAGGCGAGCGTTAGAATAGGAGCAGGGTGAATTAATCAGGAGCCATTACGTGAAGCTTTGGCGGGGAAATAAATGTTTTTCATACACAGGGGAGGTTCAATTGGAAAAAAATTAACACCTGATTATATTCAATCAACACAAATTTAAATAATTTGTTTGAATTTTGAAATTTTAAATTCGAATTTACGTGAGATGGTGCATAGCTCGTGCTCAGCCTAAGTTCAACCTGAATCGAACCCAAGTCGAACCTAGGTTGAGCCCAGGCTCACGCAACGCTAATTAAAAAACATGCATTGATATTCGTGCTAATCGCTTGCGCACGAAACCATAACAATATGGGTGTCCCTCCCGGCTAAAGTCGACGTCTCGGACGCATCTGTGTGATATGTTTCGTCATTCGGGGTTGTCCAGACGAGTTCGCCAACAGACAAGCCAATTCAATTCAAAATCATGTGAGGTGCAATGCTTGCGCAAAATGCGGCGCTATCAAGCGTTCGGCTCGCAAGAAATTCCCTAGGGGTTGGTCCTATTAATGTAGGAGCTCGACTCGATTTTCATGTGTCGATCCTAATCAACTCAACCGAATGATGCTTGCGCAAAATGCGGCGCTATCAAACGTTCGGCTCGCAAGAAATTCCCTAGGGGTTGCTCCTATTAATGTAGGAGCTCGACTCAATTTTCATGTGTCGATCCTAATCAACTCAACCGAATGCCGCGGAATCGGGGCCGCCCATGCGCGACCCAGAGGTGGCTCGAATTTTCTCAATGGTATGGGTCCGGTACTAGTCTTCTAAGAAGGTCAAACAAAGAAAACCTAATGCTAGATCCTAGGCTCTAAGGAGAGAAGTAAAGACCTCACCCAAAATGAGGTCAACAAGTATATATGAAAATAATTTAGTAAACGAAACTTTGTTGGAGAAGATATTTGCTAATAATGAAATAAAAATATTATCTCTTTTTGTCAGTTCAGAAGACATGAATGTAGATTTGAAATTGGATCTTCACGAAGTATTGAAAATTTTGAGAAATGGAACTAGTTTCAGACTTGCAATTCATTAGGCAGACCCAACTCCCACGTAATTCTAATGTGATCATCAACAAAAAGATATAAACCATCTAGCACCAGAAATATGGTTCACCCAAAACAAGCTCCAAAAATCATTATGAAAAGTTACAAAAAGCGAGGAAATTATATAAAAATAATTATGGTAGTGTTGTGACAAGTTTCAAAACATTTCATAGCATTGTATGCTTGGTTTTATTTAGCTCAAAATAAATTCTCAATTTATACTTTGTGTTATTGCAGTATAACTAGGAAATGGGCACTAACTTATCATTCGTTCAAATAGTCGCGAAGTCACTGCTTGTTGTTTTTCTATTCTTTCTCAATAGAGCTACTTGTTACTCATAGTCTCCAAGTTTGGTTTCTATTCTTTCTCACTAGAGCAACTTGCTTCTCAGTGCTTATCCTTTACACGCTTTCTTGCCATAAAGGTTTTTTATATGCTTATCAATGGTCCTCATTGCTAACTCTAATAACCTCTCACTCATAATATTCCTCTTAAGTATGATCTTGAAGTAACCTCTACACACTTCCTAATGCCTTGTCTTCACTTTATCCCACTCAACACCAGCTCCACCACTCAATCTCTTCTCGATCTCACAATCACTTGATATTTCTATATTATTCCATCGCTTCATTATTGACATCTTCAATTATTTTCTCGAATTTTTAAGAGTGGTTTGTTGTTATTGAATGCACACTTAAATTTGCAAAAAATTATAATTTATTGTTTAAATTCGATTAATGAAATGGTTATTTAATATACAGTATGTGCATATACATAAAGTTCATGATTTTCTTACTAGCAAAAACATTGCTTCACATTACGCATTGAAGCAAAGAATAAATTATGCACGTCGCATTATGTATAGCACTTATAATACACTGGATGTGATTTTCATATCATAAAACCAAACTTGTGTGAAACTGACACATGATTTTCTAAATGTTGACCGAACCTACCAACAAGTATTATTGCATTTGGTGTTCAATTGATCCCACTGCTCATTCAAACAACTTCAAGTTTTGCATAAATTTATGCACAAATTTTTCTTTTCATTTTATGTAAATGGCATTGAAATTATCAGTTAGGTTACCGGTTTAATTGGTGTAATTGTGTCAAAACAGTATACAGAAATTGCTACTTCTAAGCATACTTGTTTCAAAACAGTCTCTATTAATTGCTACTTCCAAAATACATTTCCGTTCAAATTAATTACTTATGCCAGTTCTTTTTCATATGCTATAAAATCACTGGAAAATTCAAGCAACTAAATGACTCTATCACGGCCATGATAGAATGCTCTTTACTAGTGCTCATGAAGACCGCCAAGAGTTTTTTTTACATTTTTTTTCCCATGCAATTCACGGGTTCTTCCTATTATTTGTATAAAATAAGAAAAAAATATTTGCTTTTATATATAACAGTAAACTTTAAATAATTACAACACGGAAAATGAATATCTAATCATTTCCTATTTCAGAGAAATATCGAGCATATAAAAAATACAATTAAAATTACCAAATTTTGCTTTATTAAGATAACAGTATAAAAAAATTATTTTTAAAATAGGATATAAACTCAAAATAGCATCAAATCTGCGACACCACTAAAAATCTGCATGACTAAATTCTGAAAGCATATACATAAGCTTCACTCTATTAAAGAACACATAAAAATAAGAGGGATAATATGGTGAGTAAAAGATGAATTTACATTCACAGTTTGAAATTTCCAACCTTGCCCATAAAAATTTCAAGAAATCATACCTCAAAATAATCTGCCCATAATGCTTTTCCCCAAATTATCTTCTATAAAGATAACTCGACAGGGGGAAGTTTATACTTCTTGCAACCTGAAAAATCCACTAGAAATCAACGATACAAATGTGAAATGCATAATAAATTGCTCAATCAACTCGAAGACAACAGACCTTAACAGCCATTTCCTCATCAATAGTACATCGATATCTCGTAGAGCCTTCTAAAGGGCAACTACTACCTTTGCAAATAAAATTAGCATTGTAGAGAGTAGATAACTGCAACAGAACATCAGATGTCAACCCAACATTTTCACCATCAATGGCAGCTCCATTTTCAAACTGCTCTTCTTCTTCAACCATGCCCTCAGTAACTGAGGCAATACATTGAAAAATGGCCAGCAACCTTTCAAGAGGAAAGCTACCAGGTCCCTTCAAAATTATTTCTTCAGCCATGCTATCCTTCCGATCCATTGAATTTTGTGAGTTCCTATAAACAAACAAAAAAAATAGAGAGAACTTTAAACTATTTAAAGGAGCAAGAGATGAATATGAATGCTAAAATCATGAAATCAATACTTTTTCCGTTTCCGATTGATTAAAATTCCTGAGGAGTCGAACAAAGATGCATCAAGAGTAGCAGGGTTTCTCGAGGCAATAAATGCAGACAGGAGTAGATACTTCAGTGACATTGACATATGAAAGTCCAGCTCATTGGAGGCCCCCTTCTTAATTGGTTTTCTGATTCCCTTCTGATGGCAATCTCCTTCTTGCTTAGATTGATGCGAAGACCAGCTTGAGGCCTTGAATACATCATTGAGTGAAACACTCAAGTATGGCTGAAGGTTATCAAATAGCCTTCTCTTCATAGCCTCATCTGGAACAACAGATAGATCGGCTAAAGGTTCACAGTATATCTGAAACAGAGGTTGTAATGCCACTGATAACTCATCAACTCGTCTGGTGACTCTAAAAAATGACTTAAGAACCACACTGCAAGAGAGTCACATTATTAAATGAGCAGAGAAAACTGTAGAGCAATCAAATAACCAATTCTATCAAACTGAAATACCTGAGAAAAGATGAGTACAGCTTTGGGTTAGGTTGATTCATCATTAATATATGGTGTAGATCCTCCAATGTATAACCAGGAAAATAAACGGTTATCGGCTCAACTGAACCAGTACTCAAATAATATGAATCAGGAGTAGAACTACTTATATAGATTATACCAACTTCAGGGATCTTTAAGATCTCATGGAGTCGGAGAAGCAAAGGGACAATGTTAGAACTCTTGTCCCATGTGCGAAGTAGCTCAAAGTTATCAAATATTAAGTAGATCATTTCCCCTCTATCATTCTCAGAACCCAGTTTCAGCCTCCTTTCTCTGAGAGCCCTTACCACCGAAACCAAAGTATTTCTGAGTAAATCAATGAATTCAGATGGCTTTTCACAGCGCTTGCTTCCACAATTTCCTTTGCCAAGATTACTTCCGTAGAGAAGCAATTGCCTCAGAACGGAATCAAAGAGAATTCGTGGGGAGTAGCATGTTCGGAAACCAGCGTAAACGAAAGGACGATTGAGATAACGAAAAGTTTGAAGAATGGAAATGGACTTGCCATTGGACGTGCCTCCATAGATGAGAAGAGGGAACATGGGTGAGTTCAAGGGGCCAACTAGCTGCAGAATTTCAAGGATTTGAGGCTTTCTTCCGGGAAGAGAAGAGAATAGGGTTTCCAAACTGATGGGATCTTCTGAGGAGTACTGGCCAGGGATTAGTTCTGGGGATTTGGTCTGCGAAGAATAGGGATATGCACAGTTGGGCGGGGGCTGGGCCGTGGAAGTCGATAAATGCGAGGAAGATCTAGTTTTTCTTCCAAGGGATAGCGAGATTACTTCATCTTTAGCCATCTCGTGTGGCTCTTTGTCCCAATTGGACAAGATGTAAGAAGCAACTTACAGATACAAATGCTGGTAGAGTTCAAGAAGCGATGCTTACACTCGCAAGCTTTAGGGGCTGCTGGTGACGGATTTAGAGCAGGTTTTAACCTGAATATGACGTAAATCCTGCCAGACAGTCAGTTTGGACAAAATAAAGCCGTCGGATTCTACTGATTTCAGCCGTAAAACCCAGATTTACTAAATCCTGTCGGCTGATTTAGTAAATCTGGGACGGGCGATTCGCGCGAAAAGGAAGATATGAAGTTACCTTGCGAGGTAGCTCCACTGGCAACTATAGCACCAAGAGAGGACGAGGATCTCGGCCGGCAGTGAAGGTGAGGGCTGGCCGGCAGTAGGAGGGCTCGCGTGTGAGGGAGATCGACGAGTAAGGTGCCGGTGGCAGGGTTCATTTCGGAGACGAGAGGAGCGGCGGAGAGGAGCGGCGGGCGTCGGTTTCAAGCGGAGAGGAGGCAAGGGGAGCACACTTCCCGTGAGATGGGAGACATGCCTCGGTCGCAAGAGGGAGGAGTGAAACGCCGGCGGGAGCGCCGACTAGAGCCGAAGAGCGGCGTGGGCTCGAAAAAAAGGAGAAGGGGTAGGGACTCAGGCAAGTCTCGATGAAGAGAGAGGAAGGATTTTTGGGGGAAATCGGTCGAAGGGGGAGAGATGTAGGTGAGGGTTTCGGGCAAGAGCGCGAAAGCGGAGTTAAGATTGTTTTTTTAATTTAGTTTTATTTAAGTTAATTGTATTATTTTAATTAATTAAAAATTAAATTTTATTTATTATAGAATTAAATTAATTATGATTTGATAAATTTATATGCACTTTTTAAAAAATTATTTATTTAAAAGTGCATTTTAAAATTTAAATTATTTTATAGTTAATTATTTTAAAATATAATTTTGATTAATATAATTATATTTGATAAATATTAAATAAGTGCTTAATAAGTAATTAGTTTAATAATTTTTTTAATAATAAATTATCTTAGTAAATGGTTAATTATTAACTAATAAAATCATAAATAAAATTTACAACAACAACAAAGCCTTAATCCCACTACGTGGGGTCGGCTACATGAATCCTTTTTCTCCATTGCGTCCTATTTAGTGTCATATTTTCATTTAGTTCTAGTAAA